AGACATGGATTAGGCTTTATTACCACCATGTTGGCAGGTGAGAACAGGGGTAAAAACAGCTGAGCCTGCCTGAGTTTTCACTGCATGGGGCTCACCCTGTTGGTAATTTACAAATCTGAAAAATCCTAGTGTAGCCACAGGCACTGAGATTATCATCTAGTACCCTGATCCTACAGATTGTTACTAACATAATCTTTACTCTCACAAGTAGCCCAACTGAAATCAACAGGACTAAGAGTGTGCATAAGAGTTTGAAAGACTGGGCACATAACACTGGAAAAGTGATTACAAGATATAGGGTCTGATTCTGATTCCACTGAAGTTAACAGAAATTCTTATGGTGACTTAAATGGGAGAAGATTAGGTCGATAAACTGCATAATAAAGCCATTAATGTCCAAGTAAATAATCTTCCCTGCTTGTATTTAAAATGTAAACAGGTACAATTGCTGCAGCCAGTGGAAAAAAAAATATTTCCCTTACTAATGTAACCTCCCCTCCCCCCCGTCTGGTTTTGTGGTTTAATTAAGATGGATGACTTTATTGCTCACCAGGGTTCCATAGCAGCTGCACTCCAATGCTTACTCTTCGCCTTTCGCCCCCCGACACACCTCGGATGTATTCATTCCCTACTCTTGTGTTTGCACACTGTCGTAACCGCAGTTCTGCAATAACATTTTCCACCTGGAGGGCCCGGGATAAAGCAAGGGTTATTTGTTTAACCATTAAGTACAACACACGGGGCACATCCAAAATTAGGTTTGGCTTTAATCGTCATTCAAATATTACTGTGCTATCTGATCAATAGCCAGCTTAAAAGAAACCTTGACTTTCTTTCAGCAATTCATTTCTCATTTTAGCTCCCCTAAAGCTTTTCCTAAATTGCCATTTGGAACAATGGTTGCCTTCTATCTGGGAGCAAAAAAAATTAAAACCTATTTATAAGCAAAAATGGACAAATCAAGCGTTAGACTTTACAACTTATATAACAAATGCCCAGTTCAATTTAACTGTTCTTACCCCAAACATACTTGGGTAATTACGTCAAATACATTTTTGACAACTTTATTTTTTTTCAGCAGCTTTAATTACCCTTTTTTCCCTTTGTGAGTCTGAAAAAGTCTTCGGGAGACGCAGTTTTGCAACAAATAATAATGTTTCTTTGACTGTTAGGTTGGGTAGTAGTCGATCATCCTGCCGCACATGTGCAATGCATTTCTTAACAAGCTGGTGAGTACTGGGTTTTCCATTGATTATGATTTGGCCAGATTTAATTTTTCCACCATGATCTCGACAGGTTATCACATCAAGTAAGGATGTTTTTCCACAGTCTAGAAAAATCATAATTTAAAAAGTTAAAAATCTCTCTGGGTCAAATTCCAGAGCTGTTCCATTTGGTCACAAAAATGAGGCAAAAGTTTTTGCCACATTCATGTGCCTCCATATTCACCCCCATCCTAAGCCTCTCTGTAGCTTATTTCAGAGGCATGTTTTTATGCAAACCAACCAGACAGAATTTGCCCCTGTATTTTTAAAACGAGCCTATTACATCTGTGTTGCAAACATTTTCTGAAACAGGCAATGTGCATTTGAAACCAATTGGAGGATCTAAGCCCCAGGGTTTTTAGGTGGTGCAGTGAGCACCAATAAGTAGGAGACCTGAGTTCAGGGTTTGACTGTTTGTTTTGAGCCAAAGGTTTAGGACATCTCTAAAAGTTATAATTTGAGCTCGTAGGCTAGAGCAGTGGTTCTCAACCAGGGGTATGCTTTCTGACCCAGACAACCCCAGGAAGCAGGTAAATTATGGAGGAAATTCCGCTGGCCTCTGCAATGAGATAGGCTGTGGACACAAGGTGGTAGAACTGCCACTGCACACTCTCGGCGCTGGCTGAGGTCAGGACAGCTATGTATTCTGGTCAGAGCTGTTGATCGCTCACTTTTGGAGGTGGGTCAGCCAGTGCAAGGCACCTTCACTCCCAGCAGTTCAGGGACTACAGGCACCTTGCATTGTTCCAGGCAGACCCAGGAAATCTGGCCCATAAAAATCAAATGATGGAAAAAACATCCTTTAAGAAACTGTGTGGCAAGCAAATGTACAAATCATAACAAAAATTCTTTTCACAACAAAATCTAACTGTCTTCTGCTGGGGGCCCAACTTATATTTTTTATGAGCATACTGCAGTGATGTATAACATATATTTCTAGAGAGTGTTTCTCTGTTGGATAGTTATATATCCTTTGGCATTCAAGGGCTTCAATAGTACTGTTGTCATCTATTGTACATTTTATTGTAAAGGCTTGGTCAATGCAGTAAAGCTTTCAATCCTACCCGAGCTTCCTATAATAGCTAGCATCTGGCCGCTTTGAACTTTAAAGTTCAGATTCTGTATTGCTGGCACATGGGAATCTGGGCCTTTGTTCCACATCCAAGGCATTTTCAGCTCTGCTAGGTTCTCATACCAGGGAATCTGAGATGCCATGTTAACCTAATATAAATAAATAGAAAAAAAAGCCCTCCATTCAGAAAGTCAATACTGTAGCAATAAATACTTCAAAAGTTAAGATATATTACAAAGCTGAAAATGCATGAAAATAGCTGCAACCAACCTCGTGCAAATTCTCTAAATTATGTTTTGGCTAATTCCATTTGCCCTACATGCATTGTTTCCATATATTCTTTCTTATCATTGATTGATTGCCAAACTGGTTAATTACCAAATATCTGTCTGTCTCTCTAAAATAAAAGGTACTGTGTATTTGTCTGTTTGAAAATGCAAATACTGCCCTGCCCTTTACCAAATTATACACAAAGCATTAAGCCTTTGCAAGCTGAATTTCTTCTTGTTAAATCAATGGGCATGATTTGTGTGGTCTCCGGCAGCTACTTAGTATTTTGCAGCTCTCTGTCCAGCCTAGGGTATGTTCCTGAGAGAAAGGAGACATAACTTTTCACCCTGGTGATCCCAGCTGCCAGAGTAGCCCCTTGGATTTTGGTCATTTAGGCATAACTTCAAGCTGCCCTGAGTCTGCCCCAAATCAGGAGAATACTGGTGGCTGTCCCACCCCTTAGTGGTGTGAAGTATATCTCAGCTGCAACTGAGGATCTTTCTAGACCACTATTTAAAATGCAGCCAAGGACCTGATCCTGTATTCACTGTGCACCCAAAACTTCCATGGCTTCAGTGATGTTTGTGTGTATAACAACTGTAAGATAGGGTCCCAGTTGCTATATGTAATTTAACTCCACATTACTTTTTACAGTGTCTAAATGTTACGAGAAGGAAATTGTTGTATACATTAGCAAGATAAAGTAGAACTTGTACCTGGTAGTTGAGCTCTCTGACTTCTAGGACATTTGATTTGCCACTGTATGTAAAATACAGACTGTTATCCTCTTCAGAGCAAAAAATACTATCTCTGAATCTCCGGATTGCCTATAGGAATTATTAAAAGATTAATTACAACTCACTTCTTTCTCTAAACAGCATTTAAAAAACGAGAGGCATCAAGGGAAATGCTTTCAATGTGTAATAATAGTACAATTGATTTAGTTACTGCAGCACAAAATGTAAATAGTTGAAATGAGTTACCTCTGTCTAGTACCTGGAAAATTACTCTGCAGAGGTGTGTGAAAAACTCAAAGGAATACGTGGTGGGTTTTTTGTTCATTTGTTTGCTTGCTTGTTTGTTTTTTGTCTGGACTTAAACACGTCCACTTTCAAAACAAAAATGGACCCAATTTCATTCAACTTTGGTCCTATTTCTGAGCAAAAATGCACAAGTTTTGAAATTTTGATTTTTAGCTTCTCCTTACATAGTTAAGCAGGCCCTGTTTAGCCCAGGCAGTCTTCAGCCTTAAGTGGGGAGAGCCTGCATGCCTGAAGTTCCTACTTCTAACTCCCTGTCCTCTCCCAGAGTCTTCCTTTTTCCTTTGAGCCACGGGCCCAGCTTTCATCCAGTCTTTATTCCTGATTTCCCCCTCGCCCCCCAAGACTATCCTCTCCACGTCCCTTTATTTGCCATGATCTGGACAGACAGGTTTATTCCTCTCCAGTCTATCCCTGTTGTAAGCCAGACATTGGTTGGAAGTGAAGCTTCAAAGGAATCCACACATATATTGTCTTTGGCATATGTTGATCGGGCTTATCTAAAGTAACTGTCTGCACTTCCTGCCTACAGCCAAATTACAGCTCAGGTCTGACTTGACCCTTTGAGTCCAGGTAGATAGCAGTGCAAAACTGAGCAGATAAACCAAGGCACCTACTATTCATAGAAATAATACAGAAACCTCCCACAATTGCTGAAACAATTTCAAACATAACAGAAAAGTACATTAAAGTCACTTTTTATATAGTAACACTCCCCAGCAAATGCATTTAGTTAATTTTAGTATGTATATGGCCCCTAACACTATCTGAGTGCCTTTTGCATGTTAATGCATTTATCCTCCCAGCACTCCTTTGTGCAGTGTGGAAGTTCTATTATCCCTTCTTTACAGACAGGAGGACTAAAGCACAAGTTTATACAGGAAGTCTGTGGCAAAACCCAGAAGAGAATCCAGATTTCATGTGTCCCAATCAAGCGCCTTGACCACCAGCCCATGTTGCTTCTCTAAGGGCTATATATTGCCTTCATTCCACATTCACATGCAGATGGAGGACACTATATGTCAAATCCAATTTGCTGTTTAATACATCTAGTGCTAAATGCTGTCTGAAAGGGTCTCCCCTTCAGTTCTGTATGAACTCCACTCACCGACAAATCCAGATCGGTATCCTGGCTCCCAATGGCATGCTCCGGTGGGACTTTTTCAGTTATTTCTTTCATATTTGGGATGGAGCTTTCTCTCCGTATTGCCACTTTCTTTTCTGTTTTTAAATACTGTGCTTACTGTGGAAATCCTTCTCCTCTTGGTTTTGAGCTTGACCCCCTTCTAAGCCCCCTACAGAAATATAGCAGGTATTTCTCCTGACACTCTGGGTCTCTCTGGTCTACGTGTCTTTGTAGATGGAGCAATGTTCTCCTTTTCTGGGATAGTAACAGCTCAGGCTAAAGGTTAATCAGATAATAGTTATGGCTAACCTGCCAACTGTGCTTGGAAAGGAGAAGAAAGAAAAAGTGAACTGAGAGCTACACAGCTTTCTGTCGAATAATTTCCTGGGTGTAAAAATAAGGCTGAGTCCATGACTGATCCTGTGGACTACTGGCAGAGTGAAGCTACACCCTCTTCATTAATGCGGTAGCAACTTGGTGGCTGAGTGTTTACCTGAATTAACTGATTTACCAGCTGGTTGAGAGGGTGATTTAAGTAAAGTGTCCAGTCTGCCTGAAGATGATGCAGCCTACTGAGATGGAAAGGAGCGGCGGAGGTTCCAGAGCAGAAGAAAGGACGTCTGTTGTGATTCCACATAACAGTGTCAGTGTCCATGGGATCTCTTACACAGTCAGGTAAAGCTAGTAAGGACTAGCAATGTAAGCTGGGACTCTGCAATAGCACTAATCCTCAGACCATGGGGATAAGACTTCCCTTAATTTATAGCGTAACAGTAACAGGGATTTAGTTTGAAGACGATGGACCTTAGTCTTAGTCCAGTGAAGGGAGACACCAAGGATGAATTTGGCCCTATCTGTCTTGTAGTTAAGACTATATTTTCCTGAGAGTAAGGAGTGATTCTGCTTTCTGAAGATTTAATATGTGATGCTTTAAAGGAGGTCTCCAAAGGAGAATAAAACTAGGCCTGTACCTTTCTTGCATCTTTATGATGTATAAAGAAAGCCTGAAAGGGTTGTGGTTTCATTTCTTTTGCTTGTTTTTAGACATTTAAGCTTCTGTCTTGGCTGGAAGACTCTGATATGACTGGAGAGCTAGTGAACTGGTGATGCCAACAGAGCCAATACAGAATAAGATGAGCTATTAAAAGGGGAAGGGATTTTTAGTCAAGTCTGTTTAAAACTTTGTTTTTTTGTTAATTGCTATTTAATTTCAGTGGTTCTGTTAAAGGTCTAAAACCCTCATCCTTACATTTAAAGAGCTCACAATAAATATTACTTATACCTCCCTTTGGTCATCCACCAAAACCAGGTTAGATCAGGAAGGTTAAGTCCGGTTCTTCTAAGGTAAAAAACAAGCAGAAAAAAAACCTTTTAGAAATTATTTTTTACCAATTCTCTTTATACATCAAAGCAGCAAAAAAGGGCACAAGCCCAATTTTTGAAACGTTTTTTACATGTTATTTTAAATTCTTCCAAATGCCACATTTCATCCTTTTCAACCTTCTTTTTTTTTTAAAAGAGAACGTGTTGGACTTTGGTGGGATATCCCATCATATCATAAAAAATACACACGGCAGATCCTCAAAGATGTCTCATTTCACATAGAGAGTGGCCAGATCATGGCAATTTTGGGAAATTCTGGTAAGTAGTTCAAAAGTTCCAAATCTAAAATGATACTACTTAAAAAAAAACATGCGACATGAATTTTGTAGAATGTGCTGAATGTGGGCACTTCTGTAATAAGGTCACAATGTGGATAAGCACTGGTTTACTTAGATTAATAATTTACTTATCGATTGTTATCAGCAGGCTCTAGCCTATGAATGGCCTTCTTGGGGACATTACACTGGTGAGGATTACTGAAGCACACTGCCCTAAGTCTCCACACCAGAGTATCCCCTCCCACTGCCTACCTTGAAGGAGCTGGGAGGGGTGCTGGTATGGAGCTGGCTATTCTGGCTTTCCACTACTCGTAGATTCTCACGCAGGGTGCCTTTAAGGTCATTTTGCACTGCACAAGTGACCTTAGCAGGGTCAAGGACCTAGCCAAAAGATTTGTATTTTTAAATAATGGAACTCTTGCAGACTATCAAAGACTTTCTGAAAAAGAAAAGTTGTATCAATGCATACATAGTCACCGTCAACCTATACTCTTTAAAAACATGGCATTTTCAGTCGCAGTCTCAGTAGAATATATGTGTGGTTGTTCTCAGGGTGCCAGGGACAGTGAGTCGCCTTGTTACTCCCTGCCTCTAGTGAGAGAGGGTCTTGCCCATTGTAACTTTAAGCTAGTGCCCTGACACCACCAGCCTTTCAGCCACTCAAGCACTCTCCTCCAGGCTATGCCAGCCCGGTCTTTGCCTTGCAGGTTAACAATAGGTGCATCCTGGTCCCCAAGTCCTTTTGAAACATTCCCCTGAGATATCCAGCCCCTAAACTGGCTACTCACAGAAATTCCAGATCCTCTGCCCCCACAGATTTATTTAAGAAACAATGAAGAGTCAATTAGAAACAAGATAGTGATGGAAACGAATGGTCACAATATGAAACAAAATCATAAAATGCAAACTAGGGCCTATGCTTATTAATAGTTATCTTTCCTATCTAATAAAGTAGGTTTTCCCCTGAAAGTTCAGTCTGTTGTAGAGCTGGCTGGCTTTGCAGGAACCAAGATCCAAACTTTCATGAAAACATCCCCAGGCCACAAGTTGTTTCCTCAGTGAATGGATCCAGAGTGCTTTTCCCCACTCTGTATTATGCTGAAACAGTCTTTTGTCTTTATTCACTTATAGGGTGATCCCACTGTCTGTTATAATGGTACTTTTCCACCTCCAAGTTGTTTCAATTGTTTTCAGTTGTCTCTGATGGTTTTCCATTGATAGTCTTGGGAAATAAGGCTAGACAACTGAGCTTCTCCTTACCTCACTGGGTAATATGGGAGTGTTGACAATTCTGCCTGAATGATCCATCACTGAGATGAATCATCCCCTGGTGTCTAACTTTTACTCCAAGACCAAAAAAGCATCCTTTCAATATAGTTATATTATTTCTTCAATATTACCCATACATACATTTCACAATGATGATGAGTCTTAATAAGTTACGAGCTTTCAGTAGATACCTTACATGTTAGCCGTTATGAATAAATATCCTGTACGATGTGTTTGGTGTGGTGAGTTTGTCAGACCTGAGATGAGAGTTGTTTGCAAAGAACAGGGGATCTTTTCCCAAGGGGCCTCTGTGTCACAATATGGTTTCTTCCAAACTTGCCAGAGTTTTTCAGGTCTGTGTATGTGATTGTTATATGGTTTCCTGGGCTAACGTTTTTAATCTTTTTTTCATCTTGGATTAAATTAAACCCTGTGCAAAGAGCCAGCACAGGGCCTATTAATCACTTAAGCCCTACTTAAGCTCTTTTTTGAGCTTCCAGTGGCACTTAAATGGTGCATAGGCCTTGTGCTGCAGAGGAGTTAGGCCCTCTCAAATCCTCCATTATCTTCCTCTTGCATTCCAAATGTGGTGCAAGCTACCTGCCCCTGCCTACAGCGCTGCTCTTGACTCTTACTACTGCTCCTCTTCCTCACTATTCTGCTCAACCTTCCTGTCTCCCTGCTACCTTCATGGCCTTCTCCCACTCTCATCTTCATAGCTTCTCCCATGTTGCCCCTTATTCCTGGAATTCCCTCTTGCCCCTGGAACCAAAGGTGAAATTTCTTCATTTACATTTCTCCTCAGAACTTATTTCTCCCACGAAACCTACTAGTCTCCTATAAAAATGCTCCTAAAAAGAAATGCTCTCAATGCTTTGAAGCAGAACCAGCCCTGGTCCTCCATCCTTGTCTGATCTGTTTTGTCTTTCTGTTTAGATTTTAAAAGATAGGACAGGAACTGTAGTCCTCAATGTTTTGTATAGCATCAAGCATAACGAGAGTGCTTAACAAGTGATGAGAAATCAATAGAAATTTACACAGACTCTAACACTCCATTTAACTTTCATGGGCTGCCTTTTCACACTGTTGTTAGTGATAAAATATATATCTATTTTTTCATTAGATGTGTGTACAGTGTCTAGCACAATGGAGTCACAGCCTCTGATAGGTGCTGCTATCATAAAAGTAAGAATTAATGTGAATGAGATTTTTTTTTTAAACTGTCTAACAGGCTCTGGAAAAACAACTCTGCTGGATGCAATATCAGGAAGACTGAGACAAAAAGGAAATTTCTTTGGTGAAGTGTACATGAATGGGCAAGAGCTGAAGAAAGAACAATTTCAGGACTGCTTCTCATATGTTCAACAGGTTGTTTTTAATTTAATTCATATGCATGGAACTTTTTGTTATCACACAGTTGTAGAGATAATAATAGAATCATATGGCTTGATTGTGATTTCACTAACCTTGCTGTAAATCAGGAGTAACTCTATAGAAGTCAATGGAACTATGCTGATATGAAATGTGTGTCAAAGCAGAACCACGCCCAGAGTTACTACAATACTGTTAAGTATCAGAGGGGTAGCCGTGTTAGTCTGGATCTGTAAAAAGCAACAAAGAGTTGTGGCACTTTATAGACTAACAAATGTATTGGAGCATAAGCTTTCGTGGGTGAATACCCACTTCGTCAACAATACTGTTGTTCTTTTCCTATTTTAGAATGATACTTTGTTAGGTTATCTCACCATACAAGAATCTTTGACTTACACGGCTTTACTCGCACTTCAGAAGCACTCCAACGACTTCATTAAAAGGAAGGTCAGTATGTTTTATTCTTCCACTGAGACAAACAATACAATCTTTTCAGATATGTCCAGCGGATCAGATACCCTAATTTTATAGACACTACCTTTTAGCTGATTTGGATTCCCAAGTTCAATTCATGCTCTCACATTATCCTTTCATCAATGGCATTTTTAATCCATAGATCTCACAGTGCTTTACAAAGGAAGCCAAGTATCATTATTCCTATTTTACAGACGAGGAAACAGGCATGTACAAGTGAAGTGACTTGCTCAGGATCACAAAGAAGTTCAGCAACTGAGGCAGGAATAAAACTCTCTGGTCTCCTGACTGCCAGTTCTGTGTCCTCCTGCCATCTGGGGAAATAACGAATATGTTGGAATGAAATTAGTGTTGCTGTAGCTGTGTCAGTCACAGAATATTAGAGCGACAAGGTGGGTGAGAACATCTTTTATTGGACCAACTTCTGTTGGTGAGAGAGACAAGCTTTTGAGCTTACACAGAGGAAGATGACCTGAAGAAGAGCTCTGTGTAAGCTCAACAGCTTCTCTCTCTCACCACAGAAGTTGGTCCAATAAAAGATGTTCTCACCCACCTTGTCTCTTTGGAATGAAATTGTCATTCCTGAAGCAGTACCAATTGCTACCACATGGGAGAATGAATTTGATACCAAATTCAGAACTCCTGAAGTGGCCATCCCCATAGTATCTGGGCACATTACATACATTTAGAACTCCATCATTTCCCTCCTGGAGAAGAAGAACCAAACTTTTATATCCTCCCCACTTACTGCTGCTTTATTGTGAGGAATTGAAGATATTATTTATTTGTTAACCCCTGACAAGTGATCAGCCCTGCACCATGCACAGAAGAAACACAGCCCCTGCCCCACTGAACTAGCCATCTGAATAGAGACAACAAAAATAAACACCAAATGAACTGGGAGACCCAGAAGGAGGGGTCTATCTAGGTTGTTAATTTCTTAGTGTCACTTGTGCCCATCCAGGTGCTTTATTTCATAGAGCTGGCAATTGATGCCATTTTTACAATTTTCCAAAAAGAATAAAAAAAGATGAATTCTACTTGTGCCCTAAAGCTGGCAAGATACAGGTACAGCCAGGTGTCTGGTAGAAGAACATTCTAGCAAGAGGGCAAATGGCTGCTGCCAGGCGGCCTTTGGTGTATGGAAGTCTATGAAGCTGTTTGTGAGAAGTTGCCTAGGAATCGGATAGTGGCCTCTAGACAAAGATGTTTACCCATCAAGTGTGGAGTTCCATCTCCTGGGAGGTTCCATCTATTTAGGACTTAGCCTGCAGCCTTCACTCAAGCAAACATGAGTTGTGCTTGACTAAGGTCACAGAACCTGTCCCTTGGTCAGTGAAACACAGCTTTCCTGGTTCTTTAAAGCCCTACATCCGGATTCTCATTTATACTAAGGCCCCTATACACTGCTCTGGCCTTGCTCACTTTAAGGCCCCTTTACATAACCAGAGAGAGCTGTACAGACAGCCAAGAAAATACTGCAGCAGGAAGGTCCATTCCTTGCTCTTCTGAGCTACAGATCAACACCAATAGCCTGTACTGGATATAGTCCAGCACAATTCCTGATGGGAAGACAATTCAAATACTGTTCTGCTTTTGGAAAAGCACATCTCTCCAAAGTGGCCAGACATGAAGAGAATAGCCAAATCAGATAAAAAGACAAAAAGAGATTATGAACAATTTTACAATAGACGTCACTCCGTTAGAGAACAGCTGGGTCTAGAATCTGATGAACCAAACTGGATGGAGAAAAAGGATGGACAACTCCAGCTGTTGTAAAGAAAAATAATTAATTGCTCAGCTCATGTGATTGAAACTGACAATGGAGAGTTCAACAGAAACCACAGACATCTACAAAAAGCGTACTCCTCAGAAAGAACACTCAATAGAGAAAACTCTATAGGTGGCAGATGCAGAACAATACTCAGAGATTCCAAACTGACCACTGCCAGTCATTTAAACTAATGGACAGACAGATGGCTAAGATGCTATGCATCAGGTGGTGTAAGTAGAAAACCAGTGTCAGAGACACTTGACTAACTGATCCGTGTTGAACTTTAAAGATAGCGTGCTGGTGTAAATGGTCAACTGAAAATGAAATTCTACCTTCCCATCCAAGAATGAAATAAAAATAAGTCCAGATTATTGTAAATAACTCCCACTAACATGGAGCGTGGGCAGCATATTGGGGGCAGTTTAGAATGTTATGAGCTGCTTCTCACAATTTTTAATGTAGTGTGCAACTGTCTGAGTTGGGCAGTGAACATTACTTCACATTCTTTTTACATTGTAACTATTTTGCAGGTAGATGCTGTTATGGCTGAGCTGAGCCTCAGCCATGTTGCTACTAATGTCATTGGAAGCCGTATTTTTAGGGGAATTTCTGGTGGTGAGAGGCGTCGCGTTTCAATTGCAGCCCAGCTATTACAAGATCCTAGTGAGTACCGAACAGCTTTTCAGAATAAAACAAATACCTTGTCCTTTTCATTAGGCTGTCACTTTGCACACACTCCCACTACCCACCTCTAAATAACATTTTAAAATATAATAGCATTTTTCTTCTATCTCAGATCCACACTCCAAACTGCCGTTGATTTCAACATGCAGGCTCAGTGCACAATCAGCTCTGCAGAGAGGCAGAAATGTCTAGTGACTAGAGCATAGGCTGAGACTCCTGTTTCGTCACTGACCTATGCGGTGGCCTTGGCAAGTCACGTAGACCCTGATAGTTAAGTTTAAGCACATGCATAGATCTTAGGGATTTCAGCATGTGTTTAACCATGTGCTTAAATTAAGTCCTTTACAACTGTGCTTCTATTTCCCATCTGTAAAACAGAGCTAATAAAACTTACTTATTTTAGAGGGGAGTTATAAGGATTAATTTTGTAATGTTTGTTCAGCACTTTGTGTTTTCAAAGTGCTATGTCAGTGCTAAATATTATTATTTATTATTATTACTTAGTCCTTCATATTTATTTATTTGGATATAAAACAGAGCCAAAAAAGTAGCCCATACCCAAGCTCTACTTGCCTTGACAATTACTTAAATTTGCAATTCAATTGGAATAACCATTTAGCAGTGCTCGTACATAAGTTAATGCAACCAGCCAGTGAATGAAGCATACTCCATACCTTAGCTAATGCAGCTTTTAGAGCACTGATATGCTGTATCCACTACTTTCTTGAACATTTTTGTGAAGAAATTTATGATTTCTGTTGGGAACTTAAAAGGGGCAGTATAATACCTATGTTGCAATAATTCAAAGAATCAACATTTGTAGTTTGCTACATTAATTCAGCCAGTGATGAAATGAGAATTGTATTTCCCTTGATGAATGATCTACACTACATTATACACTGTATGAACTCTGGTTCAATGACAGCAGTCATAGATACTAATAAAATTGGTGGACTGGTCAGGGTGGGAATTTTCCACGCTGTACCACTTTTGTGAAAAAAATAAAATCATTCATTTTCCAAGACTGTCTCTCTCTTCCTTCACCTCCCACCCCCTGAATTCTTATGTATAATAAAATACAATTAAAATTACAAAGAAAATAATGCACTAATAAGACTGGTTCACATACAGAACTATATACTGTACTACAGGATAATTTTAAATAGTTTATTATATAAAGCACAGTTATGTATCCTGTGTGCATGCAGAATACACACTTTTAGCTAATTTTATGTAGCATCCTATCCTTATAAGCATCATTTTATAATGCTAATTCTAAAAGCTGACAAACACACTGAATCTATTTTGGTAGCTTCACTAAGAAAAAATCAACATGAAAAAATGATCAAGTTCTAATTCTGGTATCAAAGAGAGGGCCTGATCTTGCACTCTGTATTCACTGTGGTTGAAAATGGACCACTGGAGCAACTAAAGGCTGAAGGATCAGGCCAGAGAAATAAATGTGTTGTAGTTTTGCGTACAGAGGTTTGCATGGCTGTCACACTTTAGAGATAATTCTACAATGTGCATTGAATGACCTATAAAGGCCAGAAACTATAAATTTGCTTACCATTTAACTGAGTTTTCAGAAATTATCCTGGTTATTCACAGAGGTCATGTTACTCGATGAACCAACTACGGGACTGGACTGCATGACTGCAAATCAGATTGTCTTGTTGCTTTCGGAACTTGCACGCAAAGACAGAATTGTGATTATTACAATTCATCAACCACGGTCAGAACTTTTCAGGGTAAGGAATATCAAAATAATAATAGCTTCTTACTGAGTATCACTCCATGCAGTTTTTCTTGCAGATGAGAGTTTAGTACAAAATTAAATACAGTCTATCTTCAAATCCCAGCACTAGTTCCCATTTTCCACTGCATCAAATTCAAGCTGCTTGTCCTCACCTTCTGGGCCCTTACAGCTCTGCCCCTTTCCACTTCTCTGTTCTTGTCTCTATTCATACTTCCCATTGATCCCTCTGCTGTACCACTGATGCTAACCTCAACTGCTCATTTGTCCACAATTGACTTCCTGCTTTCCTCGTCCCTGCTTTTCTGAACTTATAACAAATTCCTCTCCAGATTCCTCTCCAAAACCCATTTCTTCTGTGATGCAAGAAATTGACCAACCAATGACAGATAGGCTGAGGCACAGTTGGGTATAGTTTGTGTTTTATTTTTTTAAAAAAGACAAAGTACATAATGGCTAATATTTTCAAAAGTGGCTGGTGATTTTGTGTACCCAACCTGAGACACCCTTAAAGGGACCTGGCTTTCAGAAAGTGGTAACCCTGTATGTCTGACCCTCCTGAGGCAGATTAGTATATTTGCATCCATTTTACAGATTGGGGTTACTAAAACACAGAGAGGGTCAGTGACTTGACCAAGGTCACAAAGTAAGGTTGTGTCAAAACTGAGAAGTCAAGAGTTCATAGTTCCCATTCTTGTGCTCAGCCTGCACCTTTCTTTTCATAGCTGGTAGGATCCAATACCTTTAAAAAGGGTCAGTTCTAATAGTTTATGATTAAAAAGACATTTGGCAGTTCAGAAATACAATAAGGAAATGTAATGATGGGTCAAATCTACTCTTCCTGTTAAAGAGCCTTTATTTACCAAATTGTAAAGTACTATTCCAGTATTCATGTTTTCCTTGTTAGTAGTAAGTTGATCTCATTAATATATATTGTGTTGTCCAACCAGTTATTTGACAAAATCGCCATCATGAGTTTTGGAGAATTGGTTTTCTGTGGGGACCCTCCAGAAATGATCACATTTTTTAGTGATTGCAACTACGCCTGCCCTGAACAATCAAATCCTTTTGACTTTTATGGTAAGTTTATCCAAGTCATATTAGCAAAGATGTTGGCATTTTATTCTAGGCAAGCAGGTTGGAATTTTTTCCAACATAACTTATTGTAATTCTTCCTGTTCTTTGTAATTGTGCTAAGCTAGTTTGTTCCATTGCTTCTAAGTGGGGATCAGTGCTATAAAATTATGTAACGTATTCAACAGAACAACTGCTCTTAGATCTGAGAATAAAAGTAACGGTGGGATCAGCAACAAAATAGTTTAGGTCAGTTTTGAAAACATGCTGCTTTTATCTGGTACAATACTTATTTTAAACCTGGGGATATAGAACATTCAGATGCCCTAGTGATAGGCAAACTAGAGACAGAAAAGAAAGAACAAACTGATGTGAACTTTACTTTGGATCAGTAAACAGTAAAAATACACAATAGCACTGCAATAGAGCAATATGAAATAATAGGGCAAACTAACACCACAACTAGCGTTCCAGGTTCAGGAATCCTTTGGATTCATGATGCTCCTTTGCTCCTAGGAATTTAGACTTGATTTTCCAAAGTATGGAGTGCCTTCAATTCCTATTGACTTTAGTGGAAGTTGAAAATGCTCAGAGACTCCACAGCATTATGCAGTATTTGGCTCTTATTGTTGATTTAAAACAAAACATTTACTTACCTCGCAGTTGTTATGGTTCTTCAAAACATTTTGTCCACGTGGATCCCACTCTAGGTGCACATGAGACTAGAAGCTTTGATTTGCAGTGTTTGTGTGGCTGCACTTGCGCCCTGCATATCCTTGTGCTGCACCCAAGCCAACAGCATATAAAGGTCAGAGAAGTTGCAAACATCCCTCAGTTCTAGAGCTAATTCAGAAAATCAATTTAAGGAAGACTCACCAAAAAAAAAGTGGGGATGGAGGACAGGTCATGAAATCCACACTGATGGACAGCATCTTGAAGAACCACAATTATTGCAAAGTAAGTTGCTGGTTTTTTTCTTTGAGAAATTGTCCATGTGCATCCCACTCCCCCCTCTAGGTGACTGGCAAGCAATGCCCCATCTGGATGGCAAAACTGAGGAGTCCTAGTTGCCACTAACTAAAACACTGATTGTAACATTGACCTCCCAAATTTGGCATCCAATCTTGCGCCCAAATCAAGGACAAAATGTTTAACGAAAGTGAGGGGATTACTTAGGGTGACCAGACAGCAAGTGTGAAAAATCGGGATGGGGGGTAATAGGAGCCTATATAAGAAAAAGACCCCAAAATCGGGACTGTCCCTATAAAATCTGGTCACCCTAGGATTACTCCAGGTGGCTTCCTGGCACATCTCAGACATGGTTATATTTCTGAAATATGCAGACAAGGCAGCCTGCGCCCTAGTCGAATATTTGGCAGAAGAGGTATATCAACCATGTAATAACAGACTGAATACACGGTGTAATCCATTTAGATATTCTCTGGGGAAAAACAGCTTGTGTTTTAGAAGTGCTAGTTATGGAAACAAAAAGATAGGTTGTCTAAAAGGGCTTGTCCTATTCAAGTAATATAGCAAAGCCCTTGAAATGTCTTAGTATGAAATTTCTTCTCTGATGGGTAGGAATGGGTTTTGTAAAGAAAATGAGGGGATTAATGGATTGATTTAAATGAAAGTCTGAGACAACTTTGCAAATAAATTTAGTGTGAGATCTCAGCACCACCTTATCTCTGCGGAATGCTGTGTAAGGAGGGTCAGCCATGAGAGCTTGGAGTTAGTTGACCCTACTGACTGATGTAATGACCACCAGAGTGAAATGGTGTAGAGAGCAGAAAGGCATTCAAAGGGGGAGGATCCATGAGTCCTGAAAGGACAATCTTAAGATTGATAGATAAGTGTGAAGCAGCGCTGGATACAGTAGGGTGGGAAAAATTAAACATGACTGGCTAGGAAGTTGGCATAGTGAAATTGCTACAAGGAAGAATTTAGTTGAACTGAATGACAGTTCTGAGAGCTGGAGGGCATGTCTACATGGGAGTTTTAAATTGGATCAAATCAAGTTAATCTGGTTTGAAAATGCTTACATACACACGACACAATCTATCACTGCACACTAACTCTACATATGTCGCCAACTCTGGAGTCATCTTGCAAAGTGATCGAGGTTTCCTCCAAATTAAATTAGTTTGCATCCACATGAACAGTAGACCAACTGCTGCACAATACTTTTTGCATGCTTTCAATAGCTACCCCACAGTGCTTTGCATATTGACAATTACTAACCTGTCCGGTTACCTGTGTGCCCTCCCTGCTCTAATCAAGTTCCAAAGACACCCTCCCATCCCATAAGAAGCTGGTGTGGAGCCAGATGTTGCCCATTTGCTCCTGGATCTCAGGATACAATTGTGATACACTCCCAAAGCCCACAACATGCCTTGCACAGCTGCTTGGAGCCATGCCGAGACCATGGATCAGATCACCATCTGGGAAGAAGCACTGGTTCAGGAAGTTGTTGTGGCTGGACACTGGAAAAAAGATGTTTTTGTGGACATTGCAAAGCAGCTGTCCATGAGGGATCATTACCAGGACATCAAGCAGAGCCAGATATAGCTGCAATCCTTCTGGACTTTACATATCATCAGAACTTGATTCTATGGTATGAGAAAAGTGTCTTGCATGCAGGGCCATACTTACACATATGCAAAGTATGCAGCAGCGTAGGGCACCAGGAAATATGGGGCACCACATTTCCTGGTGCCCTGCGCAGCTGTATGCTGCTCTAGTCCCTACCCTGCCTCTTCCCCATGGCCCCCGTCCCTGCTCTGCCCCAACCCCGCCTCTTCCTGCCCCTGCTCCGCCCCAGCCCTTCCCCCACTGCACCCCTTCCCCAAAGCCCCTGCCCCCGCCCTGCCCCCACTCCATCCCCTTCTACAAAGACCCCGCCCTGGTCCTGCCCCCGCCCCTTCCCACCCCTGCTCCACCCCAGCCCTGCCTCTTCCCACCCCTGAGGATTGCTGCAGGGCCAGGCCTGCACTCACCTGTGGCAGGAAGTGCAGCGACCTGGCCCCAGCTGTGCCACCGGTGAGTGCTGGGGGGCAGTTCCCCCTGTCCTCAAGCCAGCCCCATCCCCCCGTGGAGGCCTGGGACCAGCCCCCCCCTCCCCCGCGGAGGCCTGCGGCCCCCCTCTCCCCTCCGTAGGGCCCCAGAATAGCTAGGGATGGCCCTGCTTGCATGGATCCTGGGGCTCAGGCTCCGCCTGGAGCAAAACCTGGGCACTTTGTGTTCTCTTCGATGGCAAATGAGTCTATAATGGGATTTCCTATTGTTGAAATATCAGGCTGAGTATGGAGCTCTTCAGAGACCATTGGTGACAGATTGTCTGCTATGTTGTTGTTGACTCCTGGAAGGTGAAGAGCAACTGGGGTTATCCATGGAGTTGACCATGTCCATAATCTGATTTCCTCATGGCATAGAGGTGATGAACAGATACCACCCTGCTTCTTTATATAATAAAATGCAGATGTTTGTCTGTGAAGATCTGTACAGTGGAATTCTTTAAAACTATAAGGAATGGTTTGCAGATAATCTGATTGTCCAGAGTTCTAGGATGTTTATGGGGAGGCTCATCTCCTTCTGGGACCATATCCCAGGTATCTGAAGTTAGTTCAGGTGAAGACCCCAACCAGTTCCTGATGTGTCTATGGTCAGTGTCTTTGTAGGTGGAGGGGTGGAGAAGGTTCTGAGCATCCCTCCACCAATATAGTGATAACAAGATATAACAGTAATAATAAGAACTACCCTAGCTCTTATATAGCACTTTTCATTCATAGGTCTCAACGTGCTTTACAAAGAAGGTCGGTATCATTATCCCCATTTTATAGATGGGGAAACAGGTACAGAGAGGTAAAGTGACTTACTCAAGGTCACCCAGCAGGCCAGTGGCAGAGCTGGTAATATAATGTAGGACCCTGAGTGTCAGTCCAGTGCTACTAGGCTACATTGCCTCTCATTGGCCTTTGATGCCTCCCTGATTTTTGGAGGAAGCTTGTTCACAAAGGGAAATACTTTGTCCCACATCAAAAAATCATACTTGATGAATAATGCTTGGTAATTCAGTATGTGTAGAGTGCAGGAGTAAGCTTTCCTCCCCAAGAAATACCGCTTTTTGGGGTCTTTATCTTCAAGAGTAACTGTTGGTAGACCATGCAGGCTCACTTTCTCATGAATCACAGAGACATACCCGAGATTCAAGGATTGGATGTGTATAGAATTGTTCTAAGCCTCTCTGTGGAACTTTTATCTTTTTTCTGCTGGTTTTGCAGTCATGCAAGGGTAGCAGTGGTCTTCCAGAAGTCTATAGCTGACTCCAAGATGCCGTCATTTATAGGGATTGGTAACCTGCCCACAGTGGAGGGCTGGAAGATATCAAATAATGTATGGGCCTTTCATCAGTCACTGAGGTCTCAGTTTCCAGTGTGACAGCAATTTGACACAGCAGCTCTTGAAAAGTCCTGAAATAATCCAGAGCCAAAAGAGGCTCCTTCTCAGGGGGAGGAGATGATGACGATGAGTCTTTGGGAGAAGCTAGTAGCTCAATTGCCAGTGCTGGCTCAAATATCAGTATGTGATGATTGGTGTTGAGGAATTGGTATTGGCAGGGACCAGGGTAGCTGAGCTAAAGCTGAAACCATTGTTGTTTGCCCTGAAGCATAAGAGCACTTGTGCTCAGTCCTTGGGAGGAGAGTGGAGGTGAACAGCTCTTCTTAGGCCTTTCAACTTTCGTCCTCTTAGGGGAGAAAGACCAGTGCCAGGAACTGTGCTTAGTCTGGGGCTCTCATCTACCTTGCCTCAGCATGGAGGAGACAGTACCGGTCTTTGGTGCTGGAGCAGCCATTGGTGCCAAGTTGATCTTTGGATTCTATCTGGCTGGTCAGTGCTGGGCCAGATTCCTTACCAGTTCCAGCTTTGGGTGTCATATTCCAGTTGATGGGGGTGCTGACAATGTAGGACTTAGAGGTGGATGGTTCCATCTTGAAGCTTGATGCCTGTTCTTCTGGGTCCGAAGTGCCTCTGATAAACTCCTCCAGATGATATAATTTTAGATGGGTGTCTCTAGATTTTCTCATTCCTCAGGAGAATGACCATCAAAGCAATGGTCAGGCACATGGCTCTTGTTGAGATGGAATAAAGAGCTATAGCAAGGAGAATGAGTCTGTAACAAGACAGTCAGAATGAAGCCCAAATTTTGAATTTGCTATTTTAAGTGGTTGTGGCACAAAGTGCTGAGAGAAAATAAGTGTTTGTTTAAAAAACAAAACAAAATAAGTGTAAGTAAATTTTTAAAGAGAAAAAAAAGGATAGATTTCTATGGAAATAACCCTTAAGTAGCCAGGTAAGGATAGGCTTGGAGAATGTGGTAAGGGGTAAGAAGCAGACACAGCCTGGTTTCATTTTGCTGCCACTGGTGATAAAAAGGAACCGAGGAACGGTTTCAGCCATTCTGCCCTTGGGTTTGGGGGCAGAAGAGGACCTGCAGGGTGTACATCAGAAAGGAATTCACAGATTCCTATTCTAGTGTGTATGGGGTATATGGCACCTAGAGTAGGATGTACATGCCCAAATACTCAAAGAACCCATATTTTTAATCTAGTATATTTGGGTGGCAGATTGCTGACAGCTGTTTGAACGCTAACTAGTGAATCCAGAAATGTCCAAAACGTTGTATGAAGAAGCGTGGCACATTCAGAGGGAAGCAGTATTTTTCTATTGTTTTGGTGGCATTCTGCCTTCAATTAGGAGAGAGAATGATTGTAGACATGAAGCTGGAATTGAAAAAAGCTGAAAATACTAATATGACAGTAAGGATAATTTTGTCATCATGAATTTGAATAGTCTCAAAGCCACAAGTTTGAGATTTAGACTCACATTTTAAAACGTTCAGTAAACACGAAGTGCTACATTCTTCAAGTGTCAACCTTTGAATGTGAAGATAAAGAAAAAAGTTTAGATCAAAGAATTATAAGTGTTCTGAAAATTGGTAGCTTCTGTGCATTTTGACTATATAAACAGGGGGTCTGAATCTGTTATCCCTGAGGTCACTTTTCACTATTGTTACTCCTAATTTACACCAGTGTCAGAGGAAAATAAAGCATCATGTTTCATAGAATGGATTGTATTAATTATGGAGTCGAAGTACAATGTTTGGTATTTGTCAACCATGACCGTAAATGAAAAACAGAATGTTAACTACAGCAATGGTTCTCAAACTAGGGCCGCCTCTTGTTCAGGGAAAGCCCCCGGCAGGCTGGGCTGGTTTGTTTACCTGCCGCGTCCGCAGGTTCGGCCGATCATGGCTCCCACTGGCCGCAGTTCGCCGCTCCAGGCCAATGGGGGCTGCAGGAAGGGTGTCCAGCACGTCCCTCGGCCCGCGCTGCTTCCTGCAGCCCCCATTGGCCTGGAGCAGCGAACCGCGGCCAGTGGGAGCCATGATCAGCCGAATCTGCGGACGCGGCAGGTAAACAAACCGGCCCGGCCCGCCAGGGGCTTTCCTGGAACAAGCAACGGCCCTAGTTTGAGAACCCCTGAACTACAAGGCCTAGTGGTTAGTGCAGGGATTAGATTTTAAAACGCTCACATTGACTTGCTGTGTGACCTTGAGCAAGTCACTTAGGGCCAAATTTTCCAAAGTTACTTCTGGGTTTGGGTGACTAAATGTTGGATCCCCATCTTTAAAGACATATGACCTGATTTTTGGAAGTACTGACCACTATAGCTGAGGACAATATTGCTTATTTCAGTTTCCTCTCAGAGGTGCTCTGAAGTTTAATTAATCTTTTGTGAAGTACTTTAAACTCCTTGGACAAAGGTGCTAAAGGTGCTATTGTTATGGTTTAACTCCCATCTGACAACATTTTACGGTATGTCTACACTGCAATTAAACACCCACAGCTGGCTCAGGCTCCTGGGCCTTGGGCTCCAGGGCAGTGTAGACTTCCAGGCTTGGGCTGCAATCTGAGCTCTGAGTCTCTCTAACATTTCAGGGTCCTAGAGAGTCTGGGCTCCAGCCTGAGCCTGGAAGTCTACACTGCAATGAAACAGCCCCATAGGCTGAGCCCCACGAGCCCGAGTCAGCTCGCGTGGGTCAGCTACAGGTGTCTAATTGCAGTCTAACATACCCCTAGAGTTTAAGCATAGACAGCACTGAAAAAACAAAACTTATGAAGAGAAGGTGTAATATGAACACTTTATGTAGCCAGCTTAGCAGGTTTAGAGAAGTAAGTTATCTGTTAGAACATATGCTCCTGAGAACTTTAATCCAGGTTCTGATGCTATTGGTCAAAGTTAGATAATTATTTGCTTCAAAAGAAATGTGATTTTCCAAAACTCCGCAGCATTAGCATTTGATCATACAAGTAAGACAACTAGAACACACAAGGTTCTCATCTGCTAATAATAAGAAACATCTGCTGGTGGCAAGACCAATTTATAGGTGAATTTATTAATATGGAGCATCCAGCTATGCAGAATTTTTATCTTCTGTAAGTTCCACTGCAGTAAATATTTTTTTTAAATAAATTTTTGCTTTACATGGGGTTTGGGCCAGTAATGGGTAATGTGACCAGCCCAGCATTTTCTATTTTACATTTTTAAAATGGGTGGGGGAGGGGTTGTTGAGACTGGAAGTTCCCTTCCACCGGAGGAGGGAGCAAAAACCAGTGCAACAGGGCAAAGCTGCATTGGAGAGAGAAGAGAAGTAACTCTGGTAGCATGTTATCCCCTGAGACCAATATTTCACAAAATGAAACCCCATGGGTTAGGTTGGAGTGTCTCATAGTAGAGAAGGGGTAGGAGTCAGAGAGAAGTTGTTCTGTATGGTGGGGATTCCTCAAAGCCTGGTAGATTTCTGAGTGGAAATCTGATCATCCATTCATCCATCCTAAGCAGCATTAGTACCTCCTTTGCAACTTCTTTTCCCTGAACAGGAGTTAGGGCATAGGCAATGGCAATATGGTTCTTTTCCAGTGGGGAACAAAGAGGCTCTACCAGTGAAAGGCAAATCCATTCATTTCAGGATCTAGGGCTCCACAGAGTCAGGGTTCCACAGAAATTCCAGAGACTGAATTCCCTTTATTGAGAGAATGGAGAGGAACCTCCACAAGGTGAAAAGTTTCCAGTTTCAAGCAGACTTTCCCTCCTCCTGCAGATTTTTCTACAAAGGCTTTGGTGAAGGGAGAGTAAGAAGGGGAAATGATCAGGCCTTTGATAATGTCTGTAGTTTAACACTTTGGTAAATTTGCAGTGGATCTGACATCTGTGGACACTCAAAGCAAAGAACGTGAACTGGAAACCTACAGAAGAGTTCACATAATTACATCTGCCTATAAAAATTCAGAGATCTTTCGCAAGACTTTGGAGGTCATTGAAAGAACAAAACGCATGAAAGACCTGCCAGCAATACCATTCAAAAGCAAAGACTCACCCAGTGCAGTCTCCAAACTATGGATTCTCTTACAGTAAGGACTCACTCTAAAAAAAAAATTAATTTTGAAGCTCTCTAATAACATCATTTGGATAATCTTATTCACCTTGCATATATGCACATATATTATTTCTTCCTCCGGGCTTCCCAGTGCATCCCATTTTCCTTATGCTGTCTTTTACGTTGTAACATCTTTGGGGCAGAGTGCCTTTGTTTCTTTTTCAAAGCTGGACACATTATCAGTGCTTAATCAGTCATAACAAGCAAAAATAGTACAATGATTTTGTTTCAATTTCAGGAGGACAACAAGAAACTTCTCTAGAGATAAGACTGGCATCATCATGCGTCTTTCTCAGAATCTGTTGTTTGGCCTGTTTTTAGCAATTTTCCTTCTCAGACTGAAGAATGATCTTCTACAAGGAGCACTGCAAGATCGCGTGGGGCTCATTTACCAGTGTGTGAGTGCTCCACCTTACACAGGAATGCTCAATGCTGTTGCCCTGTGTAAGTTATTCATTCCTCCATATGATGTGTAGCAAGTACTGTATATACTATGAAAAAGGCCTTTAAGAATGCTAATTTTAAGAGCGACATCATGGTTTTAGCAGATAGCCCGTAATAAGAGGTGGTACATAAGCACAATGTCCCACAGGAAAGCAATGGAAGGTACAGTGCCACAGACAAAGACCGTATAACTCAAAGCAACCTGATTGTGTTCAGTGAAGTAAGTTATTACACTTATTTAAAGAGTATAGCATGCTCCCCTGGCATGGCCCTCTAGCTGAGATGGCAGGGAGTATGGAACTGTGGCTCCACCTAATCCCTGTCCTTCCTTGTCCACTTTCTGCCTCTGTGCGGGGGCTGTATTTTTGGCCAGCTTTTACATGAATTATGCAAGTGGGGAATAGTCCTTTCTTCCTCCTATTCCCCCGTCTCGCTGTGTAAAGGCAGGACAAAGTCTAGCTGCAAATTTGCACTCTGTTAATTGAAATCACAGTTATGGGCATGGAAAGGTTGAGAGGGCATATGACATGGCTGGCTTCAACAGTGACTAAGGATAGAAGTCTTGATTAGACTTTTTTAACCTTGAAAGTATTATATTCTGGTATCTTATACTTATGAATATTGTTATTTTCACATGCTCTTTCTTTTACAAGTGCCATATGTTGGCCTCCCATGTAGTAACAATACCTCTGTTTGAAGAGTGAAAACTGTTTTTTCTATCAAGGGCACATATGTGGCCCCCATCATCATAGAAGATGGACATCTCCATAAATTGACCATCAAAGTTCTTATGAGTAGTGTCAGAATCTTACCTGCTAGAGATGAAGCTTGTATCTCCCATGACGCATCTGGCCTAGGGTGACCAGATGTCCCGATTTTATAGGGACAGTCCCGATTTTGGGGTCTTTTTCTTATATAGGATCCTATTACCCCCCACCCCCATCCCGATTTTTCACACTTGCTGTCTGGTCACCCTAATCTGGCCACCTCTGGTTAAGTGTATAGACTATCTGATCTACTAGTGAACATGGTTTTCAAATGCACTGGCACTAGGCCGCCCAGATGGGTTTGAACAAAGTGTTTCTGAAATATTCTAAGAGTTGTCACGTTGCCTTGTCTAAGCTTTGCGAGTATCAACTTCTGCATGGTATTTTTGGTCAATGGTGGTTTAATTTCTATTGTACTTTCCACTCCAGTTCCTCCATTACGTGCTGTCAGTGACCATGAAAGCAAAGATGGCTTATATCAGAAGTGGCAAATATTGTTAGCATACATATTACATTTCCTTCCCTTCAGTATCATCAGTGTGGCGATTTTCAGCACCTTTATATACTGGTAAGCATTGAGACAGTTATACCCCTCTTAAAACTATATTCTCATTATGGTGCTCTTAAATTCCTGTGTCAGGAATAGGCCTCCAGGAATAAGCTTTATGATATTGCCTTTCAGAGAGATCAGAAAAGCAAAGAAAAGGCATAGGGATGATATAGTACTTGCCCTACCTCTAGCTCTTGTTGTGACGTTGTGCAGTCTATATGGTTTTATAAAAATATGGTAATAAGTGAATATAATGTAACTGGGATATGCTTCATGCAAAAGGTCTCTTGTAAGGTATCATTACAAAGTTTATAATCTACTGAGTATGATCATCTGATTTGTATAAATGTACCACTTTTGTATCTAAAACTAGAAATATAAAATATAACTCTGAGGGCCTATTGTAATTATGTAAAGTGTGGGCCATTAATGATGGTTTGGAATCTTGATGACTCCCATTATTCGCAGATGGCTGTGTTTACCTGTGAGTCTTCCTGTATATGTGTATGCTGGCAAGTGGGCAATGAAGTCTTCCAGCGACATGTGATCATGTCACCTGAACTGGAATCCATCTTTAACCTGGTGCTTTTCCAGTGACGGGGGGGGGGGGGGTGAAACCCAGAGGGACAACGCGTTCCTGCCTTATGCAAAAGATATATAAAGGGGTGGAACAGAACAAAGGGGAGAGAGGAGCCATCATGAAGAATCCCCTAGCAATCACCTGAGCTGGAACAAGAGCTGTACCAGGGGAAAGAATTGTGCCCAGGCCTGGAAGGTGTCCAGCCTGAGAAAAAACTTACTGAAGCATCTCTGAGGGTGAGATTATCTGTATTCAGTTTGATTAGACATAGATTTGTGCATTTTATTTTATTTTGCTTGGTGACTTACTTTGTTCTGTCTGTTACTACTTGGAACCACTTAAATCCTACTGTCTCTATTTAATAAAATCACTTTTCATTTAGTAATTTACTCAGAGTATGTATTAATACCTGGGGTGGCAAACAACTGTGCATATCTCTCTATCAGTGTTATAGAGGGCGAACAATTTATGAGTTTGCCCTGCATAAGCTTTATGCAGGGTAAAACACATTTATTTGGGTTTAGACCCCATTGAGAGTTGAGCATCTGAGTGCTAGAGACAAGCACACTTCTGTGAGCTGTTTTCAGGTAAACTTGCAGCTTTGGGACAAGTGATTCAGACCCTGGGTCTGTGTTGGAGCAGACTGAAGTGTCTGGCTCAGCAAGGCAGGGTGCTTGAGTCCTGAGCTGGCAGGGAAAACAGGAGCAGGGGTAGTCTTTACACATCGGGTGACAGCTCCCAAGGGGGTTTCTGTGATCCAACCCGTCACACTTGTCTACACTTAAAACTTATGCCAGCATAGCTACGCTGGTCAGGAGTGAGAAAAACCTATACCATTGACTGACATAGCTATCCCGACAAAACTCCTAGTGCAGCCATAAGAGCACTTCTGTTGACAGAGAACCTGTCACTTCTCCTGTCAGTGTATGCTGCATCTACACGAGGGACCTATGACAGCACAGCTATGCTGACATAGGCTATGTAGTGTAGACACAGCCTTGGTGAGTTAGAATTTTGGTGAAAATGTTCTAATAAACAACACAAAAATGAGACAAAATGCTTGTTTTGGCTCTTAAAAACCTGTGAATCTAAGACAAATAGATTATCTAAGTATTTGCAGTATTGCTTTGTAGTTCTAATAGGAAATACCTTGAACAGTCCAAATATTGAGGTTAGGGTAACTTCATATACTTATTTAAGGCCTAATTCTGCCAGCCACAGTCATATTGAATAGTTTCTTACTCAACAAGCGGATCAAGGATTAAGGTATTGCTCAGCCTAAGTAAGGCTGTCAGAATTTGGCCCTTCATTATTTAAGGGATTTGGCAGGTTCTGAAGGGTCAGGTCTTATATCATTTTCATGGCATGCACAAGGGTAGAGGGGCCCACAGCCTCCAATCTTGTGGAAGCCTGTCTGTGCAAACAGTTTGAAGCTGGCATTCTGAGAGTTTTTGGAAAGAGTGGCTGCTTAGTGGCATAGTCTCCCTTCAATTCTCCAGAGTTTCTTGCAGAAGTTAATGCAGAGTACAGCTAATAATTGAATCTTTTTTATTATGTGATGGGTACATGCTTAGTGTGTCTTTGCAATGGGAAAGAAAAATATGGAGTGGAAGGTTATCAGCCACTTGAAAACGCCATTGAATGAGAATTAGATCATCCTCTGGACATAGCAGTGGGATATTAAGTGAATTTGTAATCTGCAAGGGTTTCCTGTCAGTCTGAGACTCTACAGTTTCTTTGTGCTCTCCTGAAGATTTTAACTGATCAGGAACAAACAGCTCCCACTGATAGACTAACCACTGGGAAGATCTCTGGTGTTGATGGCCTTCCTGCACACTACTACAAAAAATTTTGATTTATTTTGGGGTAAGATTTGCTGATAATTTTGCATAAAAGCATCAGAACAAGCTATCTCTCAATTGCCATTGAGCCATCATCACAGTATTGTCTTAAAAAGGGAGACTTCAGTGAGCTGAAGGCTTTTGTCTCTGTTCTGATTGGAAGAGTCTGTCTAAGGCCCTAGCCAAAAGAATGGAAAATGTTGTTGTGCATCCTGATCAGATCTTTGCATCCCCAACAGGTCTGTTTTGGATCATTTGATTTCTTTATTTTTTTTGTCATATAAACTCAGTTGGTAAATTAATTTTGATATAGTGATTATTCCTCTTGACCAGGAAAAGGGATTTGACTGAATGAATCATAATTAGCTTTTTTGAGACCCTGAGCTATTTATTTCCTTCTCATCTGCACATATGGTCTAATTAAAGTAAGTGGTGGTTGAGTTCTCCTTTTTAACACAAAGGGATTAGGCAAGGAGGCTCCCCTTCAGGGTTGTTGTATTCTCTCTCTCTCTTAATGAGAAGTTACTTCTTGGGCCTTTTCCTTCCCATCCCAGATCTCAGTGTTGGTTGCTCATTGGCACAATGTAGATTTTTAGAGCATTTCTGAGAAATGATACCCTACTACTCAGGTTTTGGACAGCTTTCCTCCCCCACAAGGTGTCATCTGTTGTTTGTTGACAGAATGCATTTGTGAAGATCTGATGTCCGAAGTAGCTATATCCAGCCATTTCTATATGCAAGAAATTATTTTAAATGTTTTTAACCTGTCCTAGATTAGTGTCCCTTTGACCTGATTAAGAATGTTTTTATTAATTATTCATCAGTTGTATTTAGCTTTGGGATAAGTGCCAGTATAGCAAGAGATTTCCCGTATATATGGCTGATTTTATACTGGATCAGGCAAAGTTGGCTTTCATAAAAGGCAGGACATGCAGCATTTTAGGTTCAGGGAATATTTTTAATTTCCTCCAAGTTTTAGTGGTTTTGAATTTATAATTTTTATTACTATGTATCTTATTAATTTGATAATTAAAAAATTAATGTCTCTAGGTTTTTTTTCCTTTCTCTCTTCGGTATCACAAGATTATTAAAATCTCCTTGTGTATATTGAAGAGTTCTTACTCCTGCCACACTGAGGCAGTGCTTCTAAATCTGATAGTTTCTGTTCAGTTTCTCCTTTAAAATGGTTTGCATAGGGCAGTCTGAGAGAAAGGAAAATATTTTACTCCTGGAGCCCTAAATAATGTAAAACAGTGAATATTTCAACTTGGGAAAAATAATATAGCCAGTGCAAAAATGATGTCGTGAATGTTGATTGAAATATCTAATGGCCAGTAGCATTACATAGTATACCATCTGATCAATGTGAAATTGATTGTGTCTTGAATTAATGGACCATGTAATTTCTGACTATGTACTCCCAGTAGAAACATCCACAAGGCAATGTTTTTATTTACAGGTATTTTGCTCCTTGAGGCTTCATATATTTCTGAGCTCTTTCATAAATTGTTGAGCCATTAGAGTGCTGTTTTAGGAAGTAGGGAAAGAGTCTTGCTATTGTGATCTTGGAAGGAACCAGTCTAATTCACTTTTTGTTATAAGCCTCTTTTCTATACCTAGAGATGTGCTCCATCTCTTGCTGCTTATCCTGACCACTCCCTCATGCCAGCTGCACAGGAAGGCCATGGAGGCCTTATTGAGAGGTCAAGTTAGGGAAGAACCAGGATGGAGCTGGTAATATGAGGAGATCAGATTTCTCAGCAGGTGGTGGGATCAGGGGTGAGAGAAATAAGGATATGTTTTGTTTGGTGGAGGAGAAGTAGGAGCAAGAGCAGAAAGGGGGTTAAGACTCCTTCTGTGGAGTGAGGAAACTGATGTAGATGTCCCTTAATAGAGGGTACCAAGGATATGTACACTCTTCTTTAGGACTATAACAGCCTGATTTTAAGCAGGGCCCCAATCCAACATCCTTTTTTGCACCCAGAATGTGCCATTATAAAATATTGTGGATACAAAATTCCATCTGTAATTATCTGCAGACAGTACTGATGTTATTTAGACATCTAACTATATGATTGCACCTCCATGACTAAATGACAAAACATTAGTGCACCTGTGGGTACAAAAAGTGAGGATATTTTTTAAAACTCTGATGCCATAATGTTTATTTTTATATTTTAAAATGCTCTCTTGACTGTATTTGCACAGGACTGTAGGAATGAACCCTGATGTTTCCAGATTTGGATGTTTCTTTGCTGTTGTGTTAGTGCCTCATATAATTGGCGAGCTACTAACACTTGTTTTGCTTGGTGTGGTTCAAAACCCAAATGTAGTCAACAGTGGAGTGATGCTACTTAACGTAGCAGGAGTGCTAGTTGGAAGTGGGCTTGTAAGGTAAGGAAAAGTATTATTAAATAATTGTGGTTTTAATGATAAAATAATGTAACTATAGAATAGTCTCAAGAATCTCTGTTGCTAACGGTGAGTCTATGAGTGTGTTACACAAGAAGGTAACAACTAGATAAAGTGCACCTGTAATCTTTGGCAAGGCAACTATCTAATCACTGATCTTTTAAACCTTGTACTAAATACGTGGGACACACTCAATCCCGACTTTTCCTACAGAACTGAAATAAGCTTAATGATAGTTAATGCCAAAGCCACTTCCTCACTGAAATGGCTACACCTCATAAAGTGATTCTCAATAAAAAGTATCAGTCTGTGTCATATTTGACAGTGCTTTTTCTCCCGTAAACAGATTTCTGCTAAAGCTGGTTCTGCAAAGTAAAACTATGTTAACACCCTCTTCAGTGCCCTATTAGCCACTGCTAAATTTAGTGAAGGGTTGTAGTTTTGTTGTGAAAGTATTTCCCACCACCTTAGTTCAGTGCCTTATTGACCTCTTTGAGTGAGAATGTGTGGGTTTTTTTACGATGTTTTTTAGTACACACAGTGCTAATTAAGACTGTGAATCTCTTCATTAAAACAACAAGGAGTCCGGTGGCAGCTTGAAGACTAACAGATTTATTTGGGCATAAGCTTTCGTGGGTAAAAAGCCTCACTTCACGAAAGCTTATGCCCAAATAAATCTGTTAGTCTTCAAGGTGGGTTGTTGTTTTTGTGGATACAGACTAACACGGCTACCCCCAATACTTAATCTCTTCATTGTCTGTGAAGAGAATCAATATTGCCAGTGGGTCTTGGATTGCTGGACATTTCTGTAGCATTTGCTGTGTTGGATCATAAGGAGTTGTTTGGAAACTTTGTATGAGAGACAGGAAGTGCACACACTTGCTGAGCACAGTTACACTGAGCTGATCACAGACTCTATTTTGATTCACATTATTAATTCTTTGTTTTGCAAGTATCTTTAGTAGTCCTCCAGGGTTTAATATTCACTCTGTGTCTACTTTAGAGGAAATGAAGTGAATACACATGGTAGACTTTTGTTATGCAAATAACACTCATCACTCCTAATAGTTCTTCCATTGTCATTTTATTAGCTTTTTTGATGACATAGCAACATGAATATAAATAAGTTGTAAAATTAATTGCTACTATACCTAAACAATTCATTACTGCATATCCTGACACTGTTAATGGTCAATGGTCTCCTTAATAGGTCCTTCGACATTTGTCACAAATACAGTTTGTACTTGAAAATTGTGCAGGCAAATTAAGGAGGCTCTCTAAAACGTGGTTGTAAGGTGCTGAAGGGAGCTGTGCAGTTATAAGTTTGGGTAGTATTGGTTCTTGAAATAGCAGAAGGCCAATTTAACTAGTTTTTGTTTGTTCAAGGCGCACAGAAGACATGCCTACACCTTTTAAAGTTCTAAGTTACCTTACATTCCAAAAATACAGCAGTGAGGTTCTTGCAGTCAATGAATTTTATGGATTAAACTTCACATGTGGTAAGTATTCACTGAGCCCCCTTAAACCAATTTAATTTGTAAATCAATTTAATTAAATATATGTTTAAATTTATACACATGCTAATAAAGAGTACTTGCCATACCTTTGTAAGCACCCCATACAACTTACAAATACAACATAATTAATAACTAAGCATAACAATTCATTATAAAGCAGTATAAAGCAGTAAAACTTTTATAACCCACTGCTAGCAAACCATGCCACTCAAAAGCTTGAATCTCCCTCTCCCTCCAACAGTTCCCCACTCTTCAACTTCCACCACTTCCTCACACCCACAGGCTGTTTTCTTCCCCATGCATTTTAAAAGATGAGCTTTGCAGCAGGCCTTGAAGGTCATAAGATTTGTGCTATTTTGTAGATCATGTAGAGGAACCAAATCCAAAGTTGGGGGCGTTTGGAGAGAATGCCCTGTCAGCCACGATTTCTTGTTTATATCCATGGGGCATCACTTGAGCACCTCTGCTGATTTCAAATGCAGTGTAAGGTACCATGAGAGAGGTATTTAAGTTAGGCAATAACCTGTTTAGGGTTTTATAGGAAGGACTATGGCTCATAGTTGAAAGTAACTGATGTCAAATTAATCATTAATTTTTGATAGTGATCCTTTTCAATTATGGATTTTTTCAGTATGTTCTCCAGGCAGCCTGGCTCCACTGCCCAGGCCTCAGATTCTGCAGCAGTACCACTTCCTCCCAAGGAAGGAAGGCGCATCTAGCTTCAGCAACTTATCTCCTTAGAACTTGGTTATTGCACTATTATCTCGGCACCCAAGAGCATCAGCCTACACTTCTGGCTTCCCTTGCTTCCTGACTGCAAGTTATGGTTCCCCAAAGCACTGCTTCCTGGCTTCATAGAACAGTGGAGAGAGTATCACCCTTCAATTAATTCCCCCTTGTGGGGTAAGGTAGAGTGCAAGAAGCAAGTGCAGGCGAGTTCTGGCAGGAAATGAAGACAAAATAAAAGGCTGGGCACCTGGCTCTCGCAAAATGGTGAATTCTGTGCAAAAAATGTCAGCTTCTGCTATTGTGGAGTTCACAAGGCCCTGAGCAAGATTAGTGGGGCAACTCACACCTCCGAGCTATTGTTTTAGACTTGCAGCAAATTGAGGAAGAGAACAGTGCAGCAGTTTGCACAGTTCACATTTCCACTGTTATCTCCAACTAGACTGGCTAGAAACAATTTTTGAAAACAAAATCTGAGATTCTGGAGCAGTGTTGTGACAGGGGTGTGTGATAGGATGTACAAACCCCACACTGGGCAACAAGGGGTTGTACAAACCCCACACTTGCAGCAAATACTCCATCTGCTGGAGGAATTAAAAGATAGGAATAAGCTCACTGGGGTAGCAGAGCTGGAAGAGAGCAGATTTGCAGCCCACAGCTCCAGCAGAGCAGAGGGAAGCCTAAGCACTCTGACACAGCTGTCCAAAGGGACCCACCCCAGAGACAACCAGAGAAGGAAGTTTCCTGCGGACCTTGGTCACTCCCTCTTACTTATTTTGGTTTGGATTTTCCCACCAGGGGAAAATCTTGGACTAAGCTTACGGGGTTGGAGGGTGAAGGAGAAGGGAGGACAAGAGGAAGAGACCCAGGGAGGACAGCCTTAAGCAGCCTTGGTTGCCAGACTACTGGTAGCCAAAAGGGCCCTGGGTTGGAGCCCCATTGACTGGGAAGGCCTGGGGCTCCCCTCCCCACACCCCCTGGGCAGTCAGGGGTTGTGGCCATGACCACTAGGCCACACTTTCCAACTGGACCCCAAGTGAGACGCATTACAAGGGGTGAAATTCTCCAACTATGGACACACGGGATCCTGTTTATAAGTGAAAATCAACACCTTTAACATCTCCTTGATAGCGCAGATCATAACAATATACTACATGCGCTAAGCAGACTGACACATTATAGCTAGCTTCAGTTTTGGATGGTTTTAAAATGTAGTCCCATATAGAGCATATTGCAGTAAGTAACCTTGAAGACGACAAAGGCATTCATCACAGCAATGATAATAATACCTTGCACTTTTCTGTAAGGATCTCAAAGTATTTCATAAATATTAATAAGCCTAAGTCAAACAACTTCCCAGTGCTTATGGGTCCTTGCAGACAGCATATTTGATGGGCCTTAAATCTTCCATTTGGTGTGAGTGAAACTAGTGACACTTCATTCCTCTCTTTAGAAAATGCAAAGCAGGTTAGACACAGAAACATGCAGAATGCCCCAATTTCCCAAACACGGCAAATTGGCTGGGATGGGCACTGAGGAGCTCCTGGGAAGCCTGTCAGGGAAGGAAATCTGCTCAGCCACTCTGTGGGTATTACTCCAGTTTCAGGACCACAGTAAATTGCAGCAGCTGTATGAGCTGTGGTATTTGCATAGCAAGAGATCTGCCAATATGCTCTCAAGTTTTTGCTGTGAAGCAATAAGTCATTGCAGAGCTGAGTTCTGAGCATACAACGATTGTACAGCCTCTGCCCAGATTCTCCTGGAACAACACTGGCTCCACTATCGACAGTACCCTCCATCCCCACAGGGGAAGAGAAACGAGTTGTGAACACATATGTTATATTAAAATAAATTGTAAGGCCAAGTATATTAAATAAAATTGAGGTGAGTAGAACGTGGGATCCAGGTGTTTAAATCAGTGCACCACTTACAGTAACTAGCCTGGCATGCTCTATAATATAATACAAAACCTTTTTTTTTTTTGCAGGTGGCCCCAATGTTTCTCCTGGAGTTGGTGCATCATGTGTTTTCCCTCAGGGCATTCAATTCATTGAGACAACCTTTCCTGATGCAATGTCCAGGTTCACAACAGACTTCTTAATGCTATATGCTTTCCTACCCGCACTTGTCATTCTAGCAATTGTGAGTTTTAAAATAAGAGATATAATTATTGTCAGGCAATAAAAATGTTAGGAATTCTAAACTGGCTGTACAGTACTATATACCAAACCTTGCAGTATTTGAGAACATTATTTGGGCAAAGTAGTATCCATCATTTTGTTGTCTTTCTAAATTATAGTAAGTGAGGAGTGAATTACATTCACACTATTCATATCTTTTTCCTTTCAGTTAACAGTTTTTACTCATGTTGGAAACAACATGTTAAATACTATGAACAAAACAGTAAACACTTAAAACTAAAAATTTTATATTATTTTTTTAATTCACAAAAATGTTTTAACATATTTGTAAGTGCACTTAATAAAGAGGTGCAGACACGGGAACAAATGGAATTTGCTTTGTTAGGGATTATTCTTGCAAGCTTGATGACCAAAGGGCACAGCAATATTTCCTCTAACAGCTGCACCTCACCTTCCCCCCCCCCCAATAAATAATGTTAAAATATCAAAGCATAATATAATAGACATGGTAACTCAGTTGTGTGACAGGACTTCACTTCGGTCTTCAAGTTATTAATGCAAAGGGTGGAACTAAGATACTACAAAATTTGCACAGTCGAGTGAGAAGTAAAGTGAATGTCTGTAAATCTGTATATAAATTTAAGCTCAGAAATTGTGAAATTGCTCAGCGCCTGTGACCAAATATGTAACATATAATAAACTATAACATTCAGAGAAGGAAAAATTCATGTTAGATCATCCTGCCCAACCCCTTTCCAGTTCAGGATAGTTCACCAAGAAATTTTCTTATGTGCTCCAGCCCAGTGGTTGTTCAATTGTCCATTTTTGTGGTAAGATGACATACCTCTCATGGGCCACCTCTTGTCTCAGTACCTCAATCCTCTATTGCTTGGTTCTCAAATATTTTATCCTGCTGATGGACAAAAGGCTGAGCTTTACGGGTTTATGTTAAGTTGGACTGTCTCCATCAATGACGTTTCCATCTTTTCAAATTGCACTAGAAGACTGATAATGAACATTAGGAATAATTTCCTACCATTAATCTAAATTCCTTTTATTAATGCACACAAATATCCCACAATCTGTGTATGGAGAGGTGGGGACTTATATGTACTGATAGTTAACACCTTTATTAAATTAGAGCATTAAATTTGACAAACCATAACAAACTATCACTTCCAGGATGGGTAGCAGTATGGTTCCCATTGTCCAGAAATCATAACAGTACTCAATGTTATTGGTGAGCAGGAGCCATAACATAGTTCTATGCAGAATGGGTATAGTCTTTGGGAATGTTCTCCTGTACAAGATTAACAGAACCTGGTTTTAACTACATTATATCAGGCAGCTTGTACGAAAGTCTCTCTCTTATAGCACTTATCAATTAATGGGTAACATAGTACCTAAAATATGTATCTGCAAACTGGGAAACATCTGACTTTATACACATAATATTTTGTGTACACAGGTACAGCTCTGGGCTTGCAATAATCTGTTTGTGCCCTTAAATGCATATTTTATGTAGGAACTTAAAAAAACCAACAAAACGTATGGCCTTAAGAGTCCCATTCTTCATATTTAAACCCATCCATGGGAATAATCTTTTTTAAATTTTCCAAAATCGACTTGAGTCTGATGATCCAGGTTTATTTTCTCACCAGAAAATATTTTCAGTTCACATGATAGTACATGAATTTAACTATTAATTTATAACAAGTTTTTTTTATAATTTAATAATAGATGCAATCATGCTATATTAACTGTTTATTTATTGTATGTTTGTTATTTTGTATTACATATTTTTCCAATTGTATAAAACACCAGTTTCAATTACTTTGTATAATACTCAAAAATGATGATTGATCTTAACATGTACAAAACATAAAATTAAAATCAGTGTGAGAGCTAAGCACTTATCTCAATCAAGATTCAAACTCCATTTCTTTCCAGGATTTAGAGGCATTTCTCTTATATTGTTCTAGTTCCTAAAACACAAACACATTTCAAAACACTTAGCATAGAACATCCCCAGTAAAATAATAATAAAATGCATCCATCTGTAACTTTCCAGTCTACCTGCAGTTTAAGGTTTCTAGCTATGTTTCTAAATCATACATTATCACATTTTGAAAAAGTACAAGAAGAAATTTTGATCTTACTAAAATTAAAAATGTTTAGCTTTAGAGGCTGACTAAGTTACTGTCAGGAGAGAGAGCGAGATGTGATTTCCTCTCCTAGCTATTCACTTGCCAGGCCAGGGCAGGCCAAGCCCCAAGTTGGAAGCACTGTGGAGACATGGAAATTTGCCACTATCTATTGAATATACTTTAATTTTATTGCTTTGTTTGTGTCATAGAGCCCTAGATTACAATGGCAAAAATAGTTTCTTATGCACAGTGTGCCAAATTCAGGACTTTGTTCATTCTAAGCAGTGAACTGTATACAGGGTACTGTCCATGAGAATCCTATGTGGGAAGGAAGCCATTTCACAGAGATTACTTTTACACATGACTGAAGTAATCCCTCCACAGCCCCAAAACACTTCATTTGGTGGGGGCGGGGGGAGGTTGCATACGTGAGTGGAAGACCAGCTGAGTCACAAAACAATGAATCCACTCCTTTACCCATGCTAATTCATCAGGATCCTTTACAAAGCTGAAGCTTCACCGGGGTGTGTGCATTCCCTCCAAATCAAGCCCTTGGCCCTCTTGTACGAGTTGTTCTGCTAGCGATAACTCTGTGGCCAGGGAGATGTAGCTAGATTTCCTTCTTCATTAGTATGCTCTATTTTGACCAGAAAGTAGTAGCCTGAAACATTTCTTAAAAGATCACAAAGGATTTATTTGACATGTATACAGGAAGATTCTTCCCTCTACATTAATTTATTTTTTAATCAGCTATTCTGAATAATCCCTTTATGGGAATGAGATGTATACACCTGAATGTAAAAATAAGCAAAAACTAAAGAGGTAGCATTTCAGGAAGAAGTAAATCCCAGTCAGTACTGGGAAATCTTTAGGAAAAAAGCTTTGAGGAACAGATTATTAAGAGCAGCAGTAAAAGTTGTTACTGTGAAGATATTAAAAAGGCAGGCACTTAGAGGCAATCACCACTACAGCATAAAGAACAATAGCCGGGTAGACAGATGGACCTACATGACCTTATTCCATCCAAAAATGTTACTATGAATTTTGATGCATATAAAAAGCTTTAGAAACATTAGCAAACAGCAGTTTTATCTTTTAGTTTCATGCAGTGATGCGTACCGTATGGCATCATAGTTCTTAAAGATTTATGAGCCGAGTTATTTAAAAGTCACTATGTCTTCTTTACATACACGACTCCAAGTTAGCTAAAGGTTTGTATTATTCTAATTACAGACATATAATTTTAGGTCTATGGTTATCTACTGTTTGCAATTTCAAAGATCAGTTATCCACCTGCTACTGCATTAGAGTGGCATGTTTAGCTACACCACACAGAAAAAATTCATTATGCTGGAAATTCCCATTTGCGTTCAATTAGTTTACATGAAATTTTGATATAGCACAGTTATAACTCACCAAACACTGTAGTAATAGTTTTTAGATAGCAAAAAGACCTTCCTGCTATGTTTTCAAGGAAATACACACTGTATCTGTGTTTTATGTTACAATTCTAATGTGAGGCTAGCTGCTTGGAGTCTGAAGCAGGAAAGTCAGTGTAATGGCTCCCCTTTCTTGACTAGGATCTCTTCTGAAACTAAATGCCCAAGCCACCAGGAACCAAAAATCTACTGAGCCTTACCTCCCACGCAATCTTACTGCAATCAATGGGGTTGAAAGGGCTGCAAGTCAAAACAGATTTTTGTGCAAGCTCTCCTCATAGCTTAAGAATTCACGCAAAGGCAGTGGTATGGCAGTCTATTAAAGGCAGCCATCAAGTAAGATTCTCAGCTGATTTAAACTGGCATAACTCCAAAAACTTTAAGAAAAAGATGCTGATTTGCAAGAGCTGAAGAGACAGCCCTTCTATTTAAGTGAATAAGGGAACTTATTTTAAGTCTAGCAGGACTGTTAATAATCAGGACTCACTAGTTTAACATGTTTTAAGAAAAAAAACAAAATAAGGCAGAGAGAGACAGAGAGTGCATTGGATTTTAGGCATCCTTTCTAAAACCAGATAAAAGGATAGAACAACAGTGCTAGAAACCTTTGCAAATTCCAGAGCCAGTCTGCAGGAACCACAGTTTAGTAACTCTTGTAAATGTGACTGGGGATTGGGGAGTTCCAGTAGCTTGTGAGGATGGGTGGGAAATCAGAGAAAAAAAGGTGAACACAAACCAGTGATTAGTATGAGTGTCATATGATTACTAGCCTGATTTTAATTGTATGGACTAGATAAAACAATAGATGTTTCACAGGAGTTATTCAGGCAAATTGACATGAAAGCCACACTTGTTTGTGTTTAATAGAAATGATGGTCATGAGGCTCGTGGAGAATAATAGGAGACATAAGCTAAAATGATATAGGAATGGAGACGATTTCTCCTAAATATGGAAATAAAATATGACGTAAATACATGCCCCTTTTGAGGAAAATGTACAACCTCAGAGTCTTGAATCTTCTTTTAATATAGATTTTTAAAGCTATCTTTAGTGGTTAAATCAAATTTTATTTCAGTACAACCTAACTAATCTGTACACCTGATAAAGTCACACAACCAAAAATTCTCTCTTCATACTTACCAAAGCCAGCATCTTTCATTATCAAGGGAGCCAGCATGCTGTCTGATGCAGATTCTTCAAACCCTTTGTTTTCCTGAAGGTTTGAGGCATTTTCCAATATCTTCAGGAAAATAGGTTTGTAGTAGTATTTTATAGTGTTTTGTAAGAAGGGGTGCTGCCATTTGCTTCAAAAACTTCAAAAGTTTTTGAAGATAGTGTCTGATTTTCAGGGAGGTGTTCTGTGTGTCTGATATTGGTTAAGTCACACAATCTCCATTTGTTTCAGTTAACCACTGCAGTTTTTTTTTAAACCATATTCTTCTAAGAATCAATGGTTCAGATCTATTTATCATTTAGGTACTTTAGCCCTGATCCTTAAAAGGTATTTAGGTGCCGCCATCTCTCTTTAGGCACCGAAGTCTATAATTTAGATGCCACTGACATTTTCAAACCTACTGCTCAGCTGCTGCCTTAACCCTGTACCTTGGCTGAAAATTCTACTGGGCAGCAGGCTGCGTATGGGCTAAGGGTCAGTGTTAAGAGGAGCTGCACCTAAGTATCTTTAAGGAACTGGGCTTCCCTGGGTTCCAGTCTATTGATTTAGTCACCAGGCCAAGGCGAATAGTAAAGTGATGTTAACTGTAAAATATTATTTATACAGATATATCAAAATACAGCTTGCAAAAAATTAAAAACACATGATGAAAGAATCCCAGAGTCAAGTGTTAAGTATTAAGGCCCTTGTAATAAGCAATTTCATGATAACCTAAGCACCTTTCCAAATAA